AACTGAAAGAAATATGTATTGAGTACTCACTATCTTAAGTGTTTTTTTACCAAGTAATAAGCATTTTTCTTTAATCTCGGGTGAGACATTATTCGTATAATCATTACTATTATATTGTTTCGTGTTTTTTTAATGGTATACTTTCGGTATCAGGATCGCTGTTCATATTTGTAAGTATTAATTTGACATATACTGATATTTGCCAGAGTTATGATTGAAGATTTTTTTCTATAACTACCTTGGAAATGAATAAAAACATGCTACTAGCTGCGCTTAAAAATCGTTAATTGCAAACAGTGTGAAAAGTATACTTTTCGCGTGGAAAAAGTAAAAAAATATCTATAAGTGTCTATGTATAATATAAATGCGCTTTAAATTAGTTTACGATTCAGTTATTTTGATAACTGAATCATAAAGTAGAACTTCATATTTCACACCTGTGAGATTTTATGATACTCGCTTACGGTTCTTGTTATACTAGTGCGAATTGCTATCTTCAATACTAGTTCCATAATATATTGTGCCTGCACGCTTATGTCTCTTTCTCTGACACATTTATGTCACCATTAAGTCGTGTAATAAGTGGTGCGAAAAAAAAGAGATTTGAATAGTGACCCTAGAAAGAAAATATTGTAACGCTGTCTGGAACTAAATATCAAAATTTTAAATACGAACCAAAACGGATTTGTTCACCCGATACGAAATCAGTTAGTTCTATAAATTTCAATGGTAACTGTTAACAAAAACAACTATTTTCCTTCACTTTGATGTTTCTATCTTGCGGTTTCCATTCACGAAACTATGATGTTAGGGTTTCACAAGCCGTTAATGAAGCTACTCACAGCTAATTGCTCCTGGAATACTGCTGGTGCACAGGGGTAGGCTAATTTCATTAATCGTGCTATATTTGCCATAAATTGCCACAGGTTTTCTTCTAAGCCTTGTCTTCTACCCTTGAATAGTGCCTGGTAAAATATTGTGATATGCTTTGCTTATATCTCATTTCTAAGCAGCTTACAGTATTTGATAACTCCTTTGTTTATCTTCAGCTAACGTTTTTAAAACGTCCACAGCTTCACCTCATAGAGCTAGTATTAACGTTGTTGCCTTGTTTTTCTCAGACTAGTTATTTATTGTTTTATGTGAATGTCCCATGACAACTTTTCATCTGTTCTGTTCAACTGTTTAATTCTTGGTAATAGGAGAGAACTAGCTTCAGCCTTAATAAATTCTTTCGTAGATCACTGCTAAGCTATTCTTCACTTCATTTCCTAATTAATTCTTCTTGGGTTCTTCAAGTCAACCTGTTTGGCTTTTATTTCCTTTTCGAAATCTACTGGTTGTTCCTAATACCTTTAATAATTTCCATTAATTGCTGTAACATTTAATTTTTTTCAGATTTTGACCTCGTAACTGGCGTTCACTTGCTCTCGGTTCCAAACGTTTAACACCAACGTAACGTCGAGGAGAACTTAGTCTCCAAATTTTAAATACGGATTGGACGAAAACAAAACAGATTTATTGTCACATAGTTCTAGTTTTAATTGTTTTAAATTTTACAATGCTCCTATTGTGTTTTAAATTAGATAAAACTGTTACTGAAACTGCTTATAGCAATGAAAATGAGTTGCAAATATGTTTTCAAGTGATTCGATAGATAATTTTATTCTACACAAAAATATCAAAAGTCAAAATTATGCTTGGTTATGAAGACATTTTTTGGAAATAACTACAAACGACGAATACTAATTTCGGGATTTTCTTCCATTCTTTCTAGAATTTGTTCTTTATCTTGCGACGTACTTTTCCTCGGTTCTTTCTCTATGGGTCGGTCGGTGTTAAATTTGTTTATTACTTTCAACTATGATGTGTGCACCCCCTGTAATTTAATTTTTCGGAAAGGTCTTTTATTCCTCGGACTGGACTCTAAACGGCAAAATTAGTTAATATTTTATATATAAGAAATATAAGAAATAAATATTTATGAACGGAATCAAAAATGAAATATTTATTACTTTACAACAGTAGACGGTTTTAAGTAAAAAGAAGGTGATTTTAAACGGTCTGATAAAGAACTAAATTATTTGTAGATGTTTTTGTTGGTCCCCGTTGATTCTGTAAAATAAATCAAAATTATGCGGAATTATTTCGGAATTATTTAAACTCAGGTCGGCGGTCAAATATCGGTAATATGGCCTAGCAAGTAAATGCAGAATTAGTAAGCGGTAAGCGGTAAGCGGTAGCAATAACCAGTAAAGAAAGCCCAGGCGGTACAAGGCGGAAAAAAAATCGGGTGGCAATAGGATGGTAAAACGGGATCCGAAGTATCTCGCCTTACAATTCGTACTAGCCTCTAAGCTTTATACGTCCTGGTGACCGATGGTGTCGGACTCTCCGTATACAACGCTTCCCGGTCTGATGGGTATACACGCCGATCAGGGAGAAACATAACTATACTATATGGAACGACCCGGATATTGGGTATACACGCCGAACCTCGAGGTGTAAGTTCACATATCCCCGATTACCCAGCGTACCTCCTGGTGCGGGACACCGGGCAACGCTGTAGTAACCACGAAGGCTTCGTCAATATTGAGTATATACACCGAATCCAACGATTGCTCTGTTGTGTGGGTTGAGAAGGTCGGTGGAATTTGTGTGCGGGTTACCAAGAATATTCTTCTCGGGCCCACAGTAATTCCACACTTAAAGCGTACAAATCTTTTCGGACTTGTACTCGGTTGGAACGGATAATAATAAAGGAAAATAATTATTACTGGGTTCACTGGTTATTCCTGGCTGGCTTCGTTGGAGACTATTTGCTGGCCGACTTCTGGATGGTGTCGAGTTCTGGCGGTGGACGTCTGATCGGAGTTGAGTTCTGGCTAGAAACTGCTGCTTTCGGGGAAAGTCGAGGGCTTTTGTTGCCCAAATCCCCACCGGATTAACACAAGTTGTGGTGGGACCTTCACGTGACTAACGACTTGCCAGAGTGGGGTAACGGCCGGTCGGACCCGCGAGCGGATATTTGATATATGTGCATCTTGTGCACGTGCACGGCCACATGCGTGAAGCGCTTCTCTAATTGANCGTGACTAACGGCTTGCCAGAGTGGGGTAACGGCCGATCGGACCCGCGAGCGGATATTTGATATATATATCTATATAAATCAATAATTTTCGCCGACGGGGTAAAATAATCCGAAATAAAAAGATATATTTCTAAATTCTGAACATAATAAAATTAAAATAAAACAGGTTCATTACAATCTTGTACCCTTCTTTGAACGTACCGTCCACTTCGTGAATTAGAACGAAAGTTTCCAGTTTCTCCGAATCTGGTGAAGCAGACAGTGTACGAAAAGGCTGTCTGCGATTCGGATAAAGTTTTTCATAGGTTCTCTTAGCAGCGCGTCCACTAAAATGTTCCTGTACATATACTACCATGTCTCATTTCATAATTTGTAAATTCATTGTGACGAGGTATTTTCAGAAACAAAATTTTGTAAAATACAAACTTGACTTATCTGAATTGTCATGTTATGGATACGTAGTTATTTCCAAAAAATATGGGGTATGGGTTAATAAATATTTTCTGGAATATCTTCATAACCGAGGATAATTTTGATAGGTATACAATTTTGTGTAGCATAAAATTCTCTACCTATTTCTGATAGTTGCGTGTAAAAATTTAAACGTACCAAAAAGTTACAGAAAGGGTTGAAGTAACATGAACGCTCTGTATGATTAAACCTAATAGAAATATAATCACTGCATACTTCATGAAGAGAAACTAAGCAACAACAAATAGGTATTTCTGAAGTCGGTTAACTGGGTTCCGAGTGAAGGAGAAAACAAGAAATAAAAAAAGAAACTTGAATACCCTGTAACTATCTTTGCGACATTTTTCGTTTAAGGAAGTTTAGTTAAATTTACACCATTTAGATTCTAGATTATACCCTTGAAGTATGTAACATTCGTCAGGTAAGTGCAAATAAAGCTCTGGCTAAAAAAATCGGTAACATTGGTCGCAATTTTTTGTCAAAATAGTGTTGGGACATGTGCTTGTTCCCCAGATTTGGTTCCTTCTGATTTCTACGAGATGTTTCCACAATTAAAGTTGTTCGTAAAGATTAATTGAGGACATGACATTAAAAAATATACGAAAAAGATTCCGAAATCGATTCTAATAAAAAATAATATGGAACTGTTTCAAGTAATTTTTAGACCGTTTTCACCAGTGTAGATTCTCAAGGAAATTATCTTGAATTAATTAAAAATACAATATTAATTAAACTAGTTTTAAAACTCAGTTAAAACAAATGTGTCAATGTGAAAATAACAATAAGTGTTTTTGGTAAAGTACTAACTAAAAACATTTTAGTAGTTTTCTTTAATAATATTTTTATATACTTTTCTCTCGTACTTGTATAAACAGCTTCTACGCACTCATTTTAAATATTTTTCCCGAAAATTGAATAAGCAAAACATCGAAAATCGTATGAAACCAGCACACGGAAAAGCAATGCTAAACTTCTTGAAATATAAAACTTCTTTGCATTTCCTTTAGCGCGATCAATACGAGTAAGACATTTTCGTTGGATATTTCTTTTTAAGGTTACAAGGCCGAGAACTTAAAATTCCATTTGACCTCTCATAACGAGATGACTGTAATAAATTTATGTGGAATTGGCTGAAAGGACAACGCATAACACTTTTACATTAAGATACATAGTTTTCAAATGTACTTGCGCTGTTATATATAGGTTTTAATTTTGTATCATTCAAAATATGTGGCAATAATAACTGTGCCACATTTTTTCCAAGACACACTGTTCTTAATAAAATTGCTATGTTTGATTGAGAATTTAGTTCTATATATTATTTCTCTTTTCAGATGCCTAAAATTCAATAGATTCCTGAAATGAAACATATCAAGACAGCAAAAATCCATATCAGATAATCATCTGCACCTCTCAATCTCGCAATACCGATAGCAAAATGAAAGTCAATAACGGATTCGGAAACTTCTCCAGAAGCAGCTCTGCTAGATCAGCGAAGAGATCTACAGCGTTACCAAAGTCTTCTTATTCCACCCCCACATCTGGATCTGCGCCTCGTAGCCCTTCTCTGACCTATCAGTGCATAGATCCGCCGCCCAAGTCGCCCAACCAAAATTACCCCAGGAGTCCCAAAACAGACAGTGCGAGTCTAAAATCCCCGAAGGTATCTTTGAGTAGTCCCAGTCAAACAGAAAGGGCAGTATTTGACTTCAACCAAAGCATCCCGAGGTCTCCAAACATGCCCATAAAGTCGCCTAGGTCTCCAAGATCCCCCAGAAAATTCACGTACGAGGAAAATGGCAGAGACACCGCTGGGTCAAGCGATTGTGACCTGTTCAACTTCAGTTTGGCTTCACCACCCAAAAAGTCAAGTAAGCTTTACAATAGGCAATTATACCAATCTTCCAAGAGCGACTCCATCAACTCTACTAAATCCAGTTTGGAATATTCCTCCACCACTAAACATCCCACAGGCGCTTACCAGGATATCGAATATAAGATCTGTCATTCTCTGGACTCCGATTCCCAGACGACCTCCAGTTATAGATACTCCATCACTAGCACGAGTTCCAGGCATTCCTCGTTTAAGGAAAAAAGGAAGCCCAAGTGTAATATCAGAACAAATCCAGGATATGACGAGAAATATGGATCCAGCAAATCAATAAACGAATCGGAAAGGGCCGAAAAACCTCTACAAAGGTGAGCGCACTATAACGATATGTTTATGCTCGAGTGCTTTTACATGTCGCCCGCACGACTTAGAGGGATGAAGACTTTCTTTTATTAGATATGTCTTTGTTTTCCTTTAGGGTTGGGGTGTATATTATTAAAAGCTGCGCGTATCGCCAAGATCAAAGCATTGCGTAGTAGATTTTTCGAAGTTGTAACTATAAATTAAAAATTTAAAAAAAACTCTATAAGAATTTTAATTAGTAGATTTCAAATTTTGAACGAAATGTGAGGTTATTTTTAAAATTTTAGAAAATATTTAAACTTAGTTTGGTTTTAGTATACGGGTGATTCTAAAATATGTAGCTAACCCTATAGGGCAGAAACTAGATATCAAAAACCTTATAGGGCAGAAACTAGATATCAAAATAGACTGAACCAATTTCCTAGATACCAAAATGCACCCCTAACGAGTTAAGTTGAAACAAAAAAAGTAAAAATATAAATTTCTTCTAAATGTCTGAAGATACTTTTTTCAAATTTGGCACACAACCAATGCTAACAACCATTTTTTGAAGTGAATGTCAATAAAATACATTGACGGCGTAGGTGTAATGTAGAGGTAGTCGCTTTTTGTTTCACCCTGTATTTTGTTATATCCCATATTTTGATGGCTTGTGCAGCATCATTGGACAGATAATTTAATATTAAAACGTTTTTCTTCAAATTTTTTGATACAACTAATATTAAGCTAGAGTTAGATTATAACGAGCGTTCAAATAAAAACGTGGTCAAGTTGGTTCTGAAAATTTGGACGTAGGGCGTAGCGTTAAATGAACTTAAACGTCATCTGTCAAAGCGCTATATCGCCGCTATCAATTTGAATATTTTCGTTTTAAAAAGCGTTTAAAATGGTGTTTTCTCAAGAACAAAAAGTGTTTATCATAGAGTCCTACTTTAGAAATGGACGCAAGATTGATGGAATATGGAAGTATTCTATTGAGGAATGTTTCATAGAATTTCAAAATCAATTTCCCGGCGTTGTTGAGTACAAAATTTTTCAAAGTGCAGTTCAGCGTTGTGTTAATGTTTTTCGTGAAACGGGCAGTGTAACAAGAAAAGAAGGAAGCGGCCGACCTAAAAAGCGGACTGAAGAATTAAAAGAAAATGTCCAACAAATAATGGAAAATGCGCCAAGAACTTCTGTACGTGTTTTATCACAAATGGTGGGAGTATCAGTCGGTACCTGCCACACAGTGTTAAAAAAAGATTTGCGTTTGTTCTCCTATCGTTTAACTTGTCAGCAAGAACTTCATGAAGTTGATTTTCCGCGACGGGCTGTATTTTGTGAATGGTTTTTAAACAACTACGGTGAACTTCATAATATCACCTTTTTTTCTGATGAAGCCTGGTTTCATTTAAGTGGTTACGTAAACTCACAGAATATGAGAATGTGGTCTTCTGAAAAACCAGATAACTTTTTTGTCGAGGGCCCTCTACACGCTCAAAAAATTGGAGTTTGGTGTGCTCTCAATCGAAGGAGGATTTATGGACCTATTTTTTTTAATGGTACTCTTACTGCGCAAAGGTATAGAGAAGAAATTATCGCTCCTTTTGTTAACCAGCTGGAAGAAAACGAAATTACAAACTTTTACTTTCAACAAGATGGCGCAAGGGCACATACGGCAGGCGAGACGATGAATATGTTGAGGGAAGTTTTCCAAAATCGACTAATAAGTCTCAATGCTGAACATGAATTTCCACCGAGGTCATGTGATATTACGCCGTGTGATTTCTTTTTGTGGCCTTACCTTAAAAACACTATTTTTGAACTGCCTATTCCTGATTTAAACCATCTGCAGGCTCGACTTATAGACAAGATTCGTGAAATTAACAATACCCCGAGCATCTTAGAAAATGTCTTTAATTCTTTGAGGAACAGGTGTGAAAAGTGCTTGGAACAAGGAGGGGGACACTTTCAGCAGCTGCTTTAATTTATTGTTATAACAAGGAGGGGGACACTTTCCGCAGCTCCTTTAATTGTTTGTTATTGTTATCACGATTATTCTTTAAAATAAAGTTATATAGTCATTAACGTTATTGAAACTGACAGCTGCTATACAGCTCGTTGAGAAATGAGGTTAAGTTGGTCGCTATAAGATACTCCCTACGTCCAATGTGTCAGAGCCAACTTCGAACACGATTTTATTTGAACGCTCGTTATTTATATATCGAATTAATTAATCAATTTATATGTCAAGCAATGACATTAATCACTTGTCCATTTAGATTTTTATAACACTTTATTTAATACTTCAGAACATATGTCTGCCTCCAAATTTAACTTCAACAAGCCTCTCTAGATCAACTTGGTAGAACTGCTACCAGCAATTACAAGCAAAAACCAATAGTAAGCGGCCAAGCAATCCAGGTAGACCTCGCTCTCTCAAAAATGTAACGAACTTACTGGCGGTGGCTTTGCGACGTAGGACTACTATGTTTAACGAACATCAACCGATACGACTCCTATTTCTAACACTAGATAATTTGATTGTATTCCGATCTCAATTGAAGATCAAAGAGCGAGGCAGTATATGCCAGGTTCGGTCGCTACGCAGCAACTCGGCATTGAAATATTTGAAAATCTTGTTACCATATTTATTTAGCCATACCCATACTGTACAGGTCTGGTCGAACTACACGTGGAGGTGGTAGAAATGTATAGCCCAGTTGAAAAATGCGCACAAACAAAGCCGCACTGAGCGACTAACCATAAATTTTAGTTGTTGACAAATTGCCTAGCAGTGCAGTGCAGCAATGCAGAATTATTTTATTATTGATTATATTTATTGAATAACTTTTCTAACCTAAACTAATAACCTTTCCTCATACTTTACCGGTAAGGATATGTTCATACCTTCCCGAAAGGGTTCTTGTCGAGCGGTAATATAATTTAATGAAAATGTAAATGTTTTTTGATGTCATAACTTTACATCAATATAATAAAATTGTTTGAGGACATAAATAATTAAAATATGTTGTTGGTTTACTGAACATATAATAAAAAATTCCCTACACATTATATACAAATTATTATTATTTTTTACCTTTAACAGAAAACTTTTTTAGGGACGCCTACAAAACTCATTAAATTTTATTGCTAGGCGTTTTTGTACATGTTTAATTGACTTCGGAAAGACTACACCTGCTATTAAATGTATTAATTCTTATTATTAGTAATTAATTAAATTAATAATATTAAATAACAATTACAACAAAATTTATTATTAAAAAAATNCTTTGCAAGAATCTAACGGGTTTAAGGAGAAAATCAATCTGATAATTCTCTTCTGTAGAATAAATATTCGATGTGCATGCGTAGAGCACCCCCAGTATATAATTAAATATTTAATGTGCGAGAATGCTAAAGCATAATAAACATTTAGCAGATATTGACTGCTCACAATGTATTTCAGGTTCCTTATTGCAAAATAAGCTGACTTCAGTTTACTGGCAATGGAGTCCACATGCACCGACCATGAGAGATTCTCATCTACATGCAAGCCCAAAAATTTGGTATTAGTAAGGTCAGGAGAACGCGGTAGCTAAGCAATTGGTGCGTTTTGGCCACGCCCTTGTACTTTTTGAATATGGACTTCAACTATTACTCTCGTAACACTCGCCACACTACAGATTAAGATACATTGCCTTGTAGACGTCGAAAAATTTGTCTTGTGGAAACTGTAGAATTTTCGTCGACAATATTTAAAATCATTTCTTCTATGGAACTAACGTACTTAATTGTCACACTACTGTCAATATGACATTTCAATAGTTTTAATAAGCTAGTTTTAAACAACCTACTTGAAAAATAATTAATAAAATTAAATGCAGTGTGTTGAATTTGACCCAATTATCTTGTTTAATATTAGTCGTATCAAAATATTTCAAGAGAAAGAAACCTTTTAAAATTAAATTACCTGTCCAGTGATGCCACACAAGTCATCAAAATATGAAGTATACAAAAATACAGGGTGAAACAACGAGCAACTACAACTACATTATCCCCATTCCGTCAAGGTATTTTATTGATATTCACTTCAAAACATGGCTATTTATTAGCCTTGGTCGTTTGCCAAATTTGAAAAAAAATATCTAGACATTTAGGAGAAATTTGAATTTTTATTTTTTTTGTTTCAACTTTAAGGGGCTGTAACTCGTTAGGGGTGGATTTTAATATCTAGAAAATTAGTTCAAACAGTCTATTTGGACCTCTGGTTTCTGCCCTATAAGGTTTGCTGCATATTTTAAAATCACCCTGTAGTTCATTCAATTATTTTAGGATGTATATTCAGGAAATTTGCGATACTTAATAGAGTTTTACCAATATATCAGAATATTCCAAAAGGTACAAATTAGCTACTTTTTCCGAACTATGATTAATGACAATTTCTCTCAGAAAATTTCTCGGCGTGGTGTAAATCGATTACCGTCTACAAACCTTCCACATTTGTAACACAAAACACTAGGGGTTAGATTGAAACTTCCCAGGAAATATTGCCCCTACGCTGTGATTTAGCACTGGATTTGAATCAAGGGAACTTACATTAATACACTTCCCGTTTGAAATGAAAATTATGATAATTTGTTCCTTGTATTGCGGTTGAAGTTCGAAGCTCAAATTGGGATCTCGGAAACGAAGAGAAGCAAGGGGTCGAGGTTGCGTAATTTTGGTCCCTATGCAATGACGAAAAATAAAAAAGATCTTCCTTTTGGAACATTTTGAAACAACTGATATAACATAATTTGTTTCTTTTGTTGAGGGATTGCAGAAAAGCAAAAAGGATTTTTATTGTGATTTGTTTGATGTTCCCCGATTTAAATGCGTTAGCCTATACGAATTCATGACATAAATATTTATTCTATTCAAACACGTGGGAAAGTTCTAATAAAAGAAATTCGTGTTTATAGTAAGTGCATACTTTGATTCTTTTTTTTACTCTAATTAGCTAGCTATACATTTTCCATTG